TGAAAAAAAAGTATATATTTGATACTAAGAACAATAAACCAGCTTCTTCTTTCAATGAAAATACAAGCATGTTTTCTTTTTCAGATATATTAATGGTTCATATTCAGATTTATCTCATAGCAAAGAAAAAACACCAATCACCATCTAATGTGTGGTGTTGATGATAACGTTTCTTTTTGCGTTATGTTATGAAGTTTCTTTAACTGTGTTGGTTTTTTAATTATCTATCCAAAGTAATAATCTTTGTTTTATTGGCTGTCCAGATGTTAGTTCAAGTACAGCATACAGTGCAAATACTTTCGCATCTAAAGCAATTTACAGCACCTCTAAAACAGAGAACAGCGAGAAATAAGGTGAGAGTTGCATGTATATTTCCACCTATCGTAAAACCATGACAAATCGCCAAGTATCAGTGTATGCAATTTTAATATCGATATGCACATTGCATAAATTTCTAAACTTTAATTTCCGAATACTACTTTTTTAATAATGTATCTAAAATTAGATATCGGTATTTTCTGTCTTAAACAGGAAAAAAAAATACACTCTATTCCTATTTTTATATTCTTTAGAAGACCATAACAGAACATAAAGGTTTTTTTTGAAAATAAACGTTTCTAAAAAAACGTAACGTTCTCGTCTGGTTGATTTGTATTAATTAATTAAAGATTCGATGAATTGTTGTTTTCAGATTTAATTATTCAGAAGATACCGACGATGATACACACAGCATTCCATATCGATATGTTTGTTTACATTTTTATCTTGTCGCTCGGTTCCATTAATAGATGTTCTTTAAATCATTGGTTTTGGTTTAGTTGAATGACTTTTTTTCTTGTTCATGATGATGACCAGGAGGACAGACACACGGAAAACAAGAAGCTATCTATTTAATTTTTCCTATCGTTATCTACATCTCCACGTTATTGGCACAATGAACACACAAACGTATAAATAGAATCGTCGAACTTGGATTGGATCTTTTGTCTCGATTGTTTAACTCGTTTTTACATGCGATTGTGCATGTATTTATGTATGTATGTATGTACGTTTGCTTGTTGATATTTTGAAAGACCACTAAATGGCGTGTACGAACGACCGTACACCAACAAAAATTAAAATTTTGTATATCTCGCCATATACGAACCTCTGAAAGAGGAAATTCCAAGTTACAATCTGAATCAAACATAAATTCCACGTTTTTTTACAATCAAGACACATCCGATGTCATGGGTGTTGACTCTTTTATTATATTTCCTTTCTCATTTCTCTCGACACAAATATGCACCATAACAATTAAAAAAAAAAACTTACGTGATCGTTGATTTAACGCAAACGAGATGATCGCACAACATTTTGCCACCGTTCAAAAGGAAACAAGAAGTTTATCAAAGAAACACAAATCGGAACTAACGTTCCAAAGAACCGGTAATAGTGCACATATTTATCGCTTCCCGAAGAAATCACTAATCTAATATGTTACCTGTACTTATGCTGTCCAACCTTACTCATTCTTCATCCCTATTAACACAGACACCACGCGTTTTCCTTTTGTGCGATGGCATCAATTATAGTATACAACTAAATAGCACTTGCACAGGAAAAATGAACAAACACTTTTCTTTTCCGAATAAAGTTGTTGCAAGACCCACACCAATAAATGACCACCTATGGTGATGACGTCACCCAAAGTTTACTGAACATCAAATTTTCCGACCAATCCGTTGCGAGGAATCGACCACCAAGGAGCTGCAACAAGCATAACCCAGTGTCTATATCTATAAACAACGGTCTTTTTTTCGTAACGTGTTCGGTAACTCTGCCACCATTTCGTTTGTCGTTCCTCTCGTCCTTTTCTTTTTCGCCCTTCTCTTCTTTCATTTCCCTGTCTCTTCCACCCTCAAATTCTCACAATAACAAAAAGAGTAGAAGTCAGCCCTTTTCTTCTTACTAATTCTTTTTTTTCTTCAAAAGACTTTCCTCGCTCATTTGCCTTCCTGCCTGTCTGCCTGCCTATCATATATTATTAACCAACTAGTCTACACAATAAGAGAGTACTCTCTTTTTTGTTGTAGTATTTAATATTGCAGTCTTTAGTTCACATTTCATGAGAATAACAATAACCATAACAACCAATAACAATTCGTAAACTATAACTCCAACTATGGACGCTTCGCTTTCTAACAATAACAACAGTCAACAGCCTCTTATGAAATTGCCGATTCCACGGCTCGCTCAGAATGCTGCTGCCGTTGCTGCCGCTGCCGCTGCTTCGTCTTCGGCTCATGTTTCGGGTGGTGTTTTAAACTCGAAATCCCACGAGATGTTGATAACCACTTCTTGGCCACCCGCCAATAATAGCAACACGAACAACGTTTCGATGGCTAATTCCTTGCCGGTTATTCCTTGTCGTGAGTCTTTTTTTTATTATTCTGCAAGATGCATGTATACTTATTTATCCACGGAACGGATAATGAGTAATATGCACTTATCGATAAAGTAATTTCTCACTTGAGCATATGTTAAATATATAAGTAAAAATTAATCAATCATAAATCAATTAAATCATAAGCAGAGACAATCGGACAAAATCCCATCGGCAAACCAGTCCCCAATAAACGTGGGCGTAAACCTTTAACGACCATGCCATCAACGGTAAGATTTTTTAATCGATTATTTACCTGTTTTCCCTTATCCGAGAACCTTGGATTTTTAGTCTCATAAATAATTAACTAACCATCGACCAATAAAAAATCCAAATAGAAAAAGCACATTCAAAATCTGACCAATCAACGCGCATTTCGTCAACGTCGTGAGAATTACATCCGAAACTTAGAAACGAAAGCAACCACGCTAGAGTATCTTTATTCACAGGCACAGGAAGAGATCAAAAACCTAAAGGAACAATTAGGGTCAATGCGAAAACAACTATTCGAGGGTGATAGTAGAAATGTTTGCGGTGGTGGTGCACTCTCCAATTCCAATTCTCCAAGCCTCAATGATTCGTCTTCGTCCATGATGGATCATTGTCCACACAATAATCCAACAGACACTTGCTGTGGAGTGGGAGGATTCGGCGGAGGATTGGGAGGAGTTGTTTCCACATCTTCGTCATCGTCTTCGTCAAGACAACAACCACCGATGATTTATTCCGGTCAGCAAGTTGTTGTTGGCAATAATGGTGGTAACAATCGTACTCAACACATGTTTGCAGTGGTATCTTCACGTGAAGGGTCTCCGAAAGATGGTATGAATTGCGATCTCTTAATGAGTGATGCCGCTATGAGCCCTATCAGTTCTATTGGGTCTGATGGTAGTAGTGGTATTCATAGTCCCCCATTGATGCCAAATACCAATAACCATCAATCAACTAATATTTATCAGGATGCAGCATTTCAACAATGTTTGTCCCCAACATCACCCACTACCAATAATAATATCACCAACAATACCAACCCTTACACATTAACGTACCACCATCAGCCAACTTTAACTTCAACCACCGCATCACCATACTACTCTAATGATCAAGACCAATTTCAGCAACAACAACAAACGCAATCAACGTCACAACCACAACAATCATCATCGACAACTCCTCCACCACCACCACATCAACAACAACGACAACAACATAATATGCGAATCCCGCATCCAGATTCAGTACCGCAGTCTTCTTTTCTTTGTGAGGATAAAAACGGAGAACTTTGCTACTGCGAACCCGACCCTGTATCTGATGCGCATCTCGAGGAACATACAAACAGAACTTTCCAAGGCAGATCAATTATCAATTCGGAAGCGGGTAAGACAATGTGGATTGTATCTAATGCACGAGAAAGCACGAATATAACAAACGATGGAAATCTATGCGATCCAATTACTCCAACCTCGTATTATCATCCAATCTCGAATGGCTGTTCCCCGTCGTCAAGCTCACCAATCTATAATCATCCGTTGCCATCGCCTGATGAGCCTGAGCCTCACTGGCAGCAGCTACAACAACAATACTATTCCCAAGCAACACATCATAATCAATCTCCACCACATCATTCTCAACAAACGAATAATCCGAAATGGATGCAACATCATGACCTACGTAGAGAAGAACAAAGTTGTGGTGGACGTTAATTGATTATCCATTAATTTTTGATTGATGACAAATTAATCAACAACGAAGTATGTGAATAAGCATTTTTTTTTGTATTGTTTGTACTTATAGCAAATAGAATTAACATCTTTCCATGCGAAAGAATTTATATACGTATATATATATAAATACATATAGAAATATAGACGGCGGATAATTTTGCCTTTTTAATTTATACAGTCATTCCCTCCCCCTTATAAATCTAATGATAATAATAATACGAGCCAAGTTTTACAGCAAGTTCATAATTTTAATTAATCGTATAGATATAGCCAAAAAAAACATATTTATAAGTTGGTAGCTTCTATGCCACTTTTGATGAACTTTTTTATGTTTCCTTTTGATATATACTGCTTTCTTTTCCCCCTCCTACAGAATTCCACATTCGTGCGTGCGTGCTTTATAAATCCCCCCCCCCCCCCCTTTTTACGTCATCTTTCACTTTTGATCCGAAATTCCTATTCATACATGATTTCCGATTCTTTTTTTTCAAATACACACCCAATATCATCGCATGTTACCATGTGTTGATACATGATTCGAAGCACGCGTTCACTACGTACTCCTTTTTACCCGTTCTTCCCACTATCACTAATAAATTGTAAAACAACACCACATAGTAAAAACTTACTAGCAAAAAAGTGTTACCAATACTATACCCACATTCTTTTCCCCATCAACCACAACAATAACAATCAACAACAATAACAATAAACACTCACTGCAAATACATGACATTTTATATATATATATATATATATATATATACACTAGTGATATCTACATTAGACTTATTTTGTCTCTCATTTTAGATGAACCTCCTACTTCCTCTTTCTTCCGACATATATACACCCCAGAACCAAAGTGCGTTCGAGATGAACACTAACCTTTATAAATATTCCCTACATATATAATACATCCTCACTCTTCACCTGTGTGTATATATCCCTTTCTTTTTTACGCGCATTGCAACACATACACGTCATCATCCACATTGCGCAAAAAGTTTATATATTTTTGTTTTTT